ATTTATTTATTTATTTATTTATTTATTTATTTATTTATTTATTTATTTGTCAATATTGAGGAATCAAACCCAGGGTCTCTTTGTCATTGATCTGTACTGCTCACCCTTTTTTTTTCCTTTTATTTGAGACAGAACCACTCTAAATTGCCCAGATTGCCATTGAACTTGCCCTGTAGCCAGGCACGCCTTGAACTCATGATCTTCCTGTGTCAGCCTCCAGAGTAACCTTTGATTTTCCTTATGTTCACTGAAAACCTCCTACCCATATACGCATTATGCTGGGGACCATTTTCTTGACCAAGATTCTGTTCTGTTGTGTTTTGCTTTTTGTTGTTGTTGTTGCTTCTTAGTTTTGTTTTCTGTTTGAGCCAGAGTCTCACTGTAGCCCAGACTGGCCTGGGATTCACTATGTAGCCCAAGTTGGACTTGAACTCATGGCAATCCTCTTTTTAAGTTTCCAGAGTCCTAGGATTTCCAGCATGAGCTACCATGTCCAGCTTAGGGTTTTGACCTCTAGGCTGTCTTCTTTTCAGCCCCACTTCCCTGAGGCTGCACCACGGCATTTTGATTGGACATCAAGTCGACTCAAATTCTGTGTTGCATGCTACAGGCACTCTCTTCCTGATGCTCTGTCCTTTCTCCTAGGATCAGGTACACAGTGCCCCATTCCAGCCTACTAATCCTGGAGGACCTGTTGTGTCCATTGGCAGAATCGAGGCACACCCATCCATACACCATCCATCCATGCTCCATCTATCCATGCACCATCCATCCATGCTCCATCCATGCACCATCCTTCCATGCTCCATCCGTCCATACACCATCCATCCGTGCACCATCCATCCATGCACCACCCTTCCCACAAACCTGTGGCTTGAAAGGTAAATTTGAGTTGAAAATGAGGTATAAGTGGATTTTCTGGAACTTGCTGATAAACTAGTGGAGAACGGCTAGTCAAAGGCGGCTTCTTTTATGTTTGACTTCAGCAACACTGAAAACTTGGACAGCTGCCTTGTCTTGATTCCTCCTTCCAATTGTCCTCCCTGGCTCATCCTCCTGCCAGCATCTGGAGGGCCGATGACAACTCCGCTCCTGGGTCACGTGAACAGCCTTCAGCCCTGCTTCAAGTCACTGCCTTTCACCCTGCACTCACTTGCTGAAGTACCATTTCCAACATGTAAATCAGATCAGGCTGTAGTGCTCTACCTAAACTGCCCACATATCCCCATTACCCCCCGAAAGTTGTTTGCATCCTTAGCATGACTTATAAGGCCCTCAAGTTTGGGTCCTGGCCCCTCTCAAGCTGTGTCCACTCACCCCCTTGTAGCACACTACTGTCCTCCATGTCGGGGTGCGCCACAGCTCCCTCCGTATGGACCCTTCACCTTCCTCCCTCTGCTTCTCCATGACCTGTCTCTGAGACCTTACTCTAGTAAGACTCCCCTGACTCTCTCCAATCTGAATTTGGCTATGGTGATACTTAATGGGCCCATTTTAAAGTTATCTACAGGAGAGTTTCTCCCGTAGAGCTGAGGTTGGTGCCCGCTGTTCCTGGACGAGGTTCATAATGAGAGCTGACTGAAGAGTCAGGTAGGAGGGGTCTGCTCCACAGGGTTTGGGTGCGACAAGGGTACATGCTTTCTGGAGTCCACGTGGAGGCAGGCTTACCAGTAGAATGTGGTGTTGACGTGTGTGTGCGTGTGTGAGGGTCTATGAAAGGAGCTGAAGAGGTGTAAAGGAACAGGAGGAACAAGAGCGTAACGGGGTATATGAGACATGACAGCAAGAGGGATCAGAAGAGGGGCTGATGGGGAGGGGTGAATAAGCAGAGTAAGTGATGTATGTGTATGAGAATCTCACCAGACCCAGTGCTTGGTATGCTACCGATACATTTTAATATGTATGTGCATCAGCATGTGTATAACCACTTGTGTGCAGGAGCCCACGGATGTCAGAAGTCAGAGTCAGATGACCTGGACCTGGAATTACAGGCAGTTGTGAGTCGCCATGGGCTTCGGGTCCTTGGCAGGAGCAGTGAGCGATCTTTAACCCTTGAAGTCATCTAAAATTTTTTTGATTTAAAAGCTTCCTGCGTGGGTGGCTGCAAGGCAGTCGGCCCCAACAGCCTTACAGGCCAGCTCCCCAACTCCACCGAGGCGAAGCCCCTCCCACCGAGTGGGCACACAGCCGAGATTTTATTTCATCGGCTTTTTGACGTGTCAGAAATGTGAAGTTTTCTTGAGAAACAAAAGCTCCCCACGTCGCATTCCCGAGGGCCATCAAAGGTAATAAGCCGTTAAGAAGCCGTCCCCGAGTCTGAGGTCTATGGCGAGCGAGGGGACACCGACAGTGAACTTCAGGGCTTGCGCCATCCTGGACCCACCACGGAGCCACTCGGTACTGGAAGTGTTAGGGGAGGGAAACCGCTCTCTGCGGATCCCACACAGTCCCCACGGCGGCTTCCACCGCCTGGGGGTGGCCGGAGTCTCGGTGTAGGAGGCAGGGCTGAGCCCGGGTGCGGGGTGAGGGGTTCCGGGTGCTGGGAGCAGAGCTGAGTCCGGGTGCAGGGTGCTGGGCGCAGGGCGCAGGGCGCAGGGCCGGGTGCCGGGTGCAGGGCTGGGTCTGCGTGCGGGGTGCGGTGCCGGGTGCAGGGAGCAGGGCTGGGCTGGGGTGCGGGGAGCGGGATGGCCAGAGCCACGCGCGTCACGGGCGCCGGGGACGCTGCGCAGCCCAATAGGCCGAGGCGCGGGCGGCGGCGGGAGTCGAGGTATAAAAGTGCGGAGAGAACCCGGGCGAGCGCCGCGCGCCACCGAGGGCTGCTGGGGACCCGGGCGGCTGGCGGCGGAGCGCACGGCTCCACGGCCCCGGGTCCCCGCGCGACTGCGGTTCAGGTTCCCTCCGCGATCCGGACTCCCCGCCGGGCCGCGGTTCCCCCTGTGGTCGCGGACCCCGCACAGCCTCGGTTCCCTCCGCAGCCCGGGTTCTCTCGGCAGTCCCCGACGCCTCCGGTCCAGCGCGCTCTGCCCGGCGCGCACCGAGCGGTGGGGACGCGCGGCCCTGGCGCCCGGCCGGGTGTCCGGGCATGATGGTCCCTCGAGTCCTGCTGCTCGCCCTCCTGCCCTTGGTGCGAACCACCGAGCGGCCCGAGGCGGGCGCCGAGAACCCCAGCCTGGAGGCCGCGCTGGCCGGGCCCAACGCCTCGCACTTCTGGAGCAACTACACCTTCTCGGACTGGCAGAACTTCGTGGGCAAGAGGCGTTACGGGGCCGAGTCCCAGAACCCCACGGTGAAGGCCCTGCTCATCGCGGCCTACTCCTTCATCATCATCTTCTCGCTCTTCGGCAACGTCCTGGTCTGTCATGTCATCTTCAAGAACCAGCGCATGCACTCGGCCACCAGCCTGTTCATCGTCAACCTGGCGGTGGCTGACATCATGATCACACTGCTCAACACGCCCTTCACTTTGGTAAGGAAGGGCCCAGGGTGGCTCCATGCTCCCTCTCCTCCCTTGAAGCATGCCTCCACGCTCCTTCTGTTCCCCTCATCTCCAGGGTCTCCTCCTCCCCCCACCCCCCTCCCTCTCCTTCTCCTCTCCTGTCACCCCTGCCTCAGGCTTGACTCCTGTCTTCATTTTCTCCTGTCATTCTCCTATAGCTCTAACGTGGTGCTTCCAGATGCTTATATATTGGAAGCAGTGCGTTGCCTCCCTCCCTCCCTGCCTCCCTCCCTCCCTCTCTGCCTTCCTTCCTTCTCCCCTTCCTTTCTAAGCCAGAGCTCCTGCAGCTGGTGGCATTGGTTCAATGATCCAAGTGTTTGCAGCCAGCCCTCAATGGTTGACCACTCACTGTGTAACTACATTGGACACAGGCATTTGTGACACGCAAACTGTAACACGAGCCCTGAAATGTCAACAGAGGTTATTAGGTCACCTCCAGGTCCCTTAAGTGCAGCCTGTTAAATGTCCATCTCCCACTCACAGGGTCTGCTTGGTGCTAAACAGCAAACAACACTGCTAGCATTTAATGGGGCTAGTCTCTGCGTCTCTGCGCTGCTGAGTTGAGCTGTGCTCCCTCTGTGACTTGGCAGCCCTGTGTGAGGCTGGTGCTGGAGGGAGTGAGGGAGACCTGGCCTGGCCACAGTGTGTGCAAGTGGCTTTGTCCCCAGCACTGGCCTCTATAGCAGCCCTTTCGGTTTATGTCATATAGTATTCTCTCTCTCTCTCTCTCTCTCTCTCTCTCTCTCTCTCTCTCTCAGAACAGATAAAAAGATGGACCCCTACAAGCTCACCCTTAAAGCCCTCTCGTGCTCTCTCTTCTTCTTTCATGTGAGGGCATGACTCCCATTTTGCAGATAAGGAAATTAAGGCACGAGGAGGTCCAGTCCTCGGCCAAGGCTGCCTGGCAGAGCCTCTCTCTCTCTCTCTCTCTCTCTCTCTCTCTCTCTCTCTCTCTCAGAACAGATAAAAAGATGGACCCCTACAAGCTCACCCTTAAAGCCCTCTCGTGCTCTCTCTTCTTCTTTCATGTGAGGGCATGACTCCCATTTTGCAGATAAGGAAATTAAGGCACGAGGAGGTCCAGTCCTCGGCCAAGGCTGCCTGGCAGAGCCAGGAGAATTGTATCCCCTCTTGCTGTGTCCACTAAGCCTCTATGTAAGTGGACACTTAACCCATGGTCTAATTCCACTGTTTCAAGCACCCATTTGCCATGCTGTCCTTCAAATCACGTCTAACCTACTGATGGCCACAAAGGGCCCTCTAGGCACTGAGCAAGGACGTAAGGGCTTCCCAGAAACACTCCCTGCCTCCTTGGTGCTCAGGAAAGCAGTATCTTGGCTCTTTTTGACACCCTTCCCCCATGGCTTTTCATTTGAGAATGGGCAAACTGGGTGGGTCTGGGCCATCCAAGCTGGGCGCTGTGGGGTCCCAGGGCTTGGTACTGCTTGGAGCCAGGCTGCAGGGCCAGATCTGCAGCAGACACAGAAGGGCCAAAGAAGCAGTGGGCCCTGAACTAGTGACAGCTGAGAGCTAGAAGCCCCTGCCCCTGAGGACTCCTGTGAGAGGCGTGTCCCTGTCCTCCGTGCAGGATGAACCTAGCAGCCTACCTACGGAACCTCCCCAGTCCAAGCTTCTTTTAGTGCTTCCAGAATGCTGCCACATGCACACAGGTGGTGGGGGTTTGGGGGGGCTCTTGGAATCCCCCAGTCTGCTCATCACAGGCTCCGCAGCAGGGTGAGTAATCTTGCCTCTGTCTAGTTGGTGACGGTAGCCCTCTCCCAGGCCCCTCTTCCCAGCCACCACACATACTGCAGTCAGCATGACTCTGATCATTGAGACAGTAGCAAACAGTTGCTGGTGGTTCCCATGGTAGGGCCATGCAGAGTATGGTGCAGCCTGGAGGAGGCAGGCTGGCATCCAGACTTGCCAGACGCCCAAAAGAAACTTTCCAAAGGACGTGGCATTTCAGTGGAGGCTGCATGAGTGGGATTTCCTGGGTCAAGATGAATGATCAGCACACACACAGGGAGAACAAAGGCAGGAAGTCACCAAAGTTCACTGTGTGTCCAGGGAGCATTGATGGAGCTGGAGCAGCAGAGACAAGAGGCACAGCAGGGCTGTGTGTGTGTGTGTGTGTGTGTGTGTGTGTGTGTGTGTGTGTGTGTGTGTCTGTGTCTGTGTCTATGTGCTGAGGTGGACCAGAAAGAGGCTATGCCATCTGTGTCAGGCCTGAGTCCTCCTAAGATACCTGTCTCCATTGGTGATACTCAGCAGGGTGGGAACATTTATCTAGTTTTAGATTAAGAAATATACCAGCAGTTGTGTGCCAGGGGACACCCCCAAACCCAACCAGGGGACAGGACAACAGGGAAAGCTGTGGGGAGGCAGTAACTGGTGGAGGCCCTGGAGCAGACATGAAGCCATTTGGAGGCTAGGACCTGAGCACTTGCTGAGTGTCGGGGTGGGAGGCAGGGGAGCTGAAAACTTCCAGCTCTGAATGCTGCTGGCTGGCTTGGCAACCTCAATTGCTCCCCCTATCCACACAGAAAAATAAAGCCTGGGTCTGCTGTCCTGTCACCATACGGCTAGACTTGACGCGACTCTCCTCTACATGCTTCAGGCAAACAACCCACTCTTCATTCCCCAGCAGACCCTTGGGTTTCGGATCCAGGGCTGAGACCTTTTGTCCCACTCCCTCCGTAAGTGACTCCTTGCTCATCTTTAATGTCCCTGTGTAGTCACAATGGCAGTCACAGGCTTAGGTCTTTGCCAAGCGTGGCACTACTATCTCGCCTCTGCACCCATTCTCTGTCTTGCTTGATTTTCATAACCACCATGTGAAAAAGGTCAGCCTGTTTTACAGGTGCAGAAGTGCAGCTCAGAGGTCCCAGGGCGGGAATGAGCTATCCTGCGGTAAGTCCCGTGTGCTCCACATACAGGACCTAGAAGACTTCTTAACTGGGAGAGCTGAGAAGTCTTCTGAGGGAATGCTTCCCAGAGACTGCTGAGGTGGAACTGGGTGTCAATCAAGGCCCGTTCAACCTGATCTTGTCTCACCCACAGGTTCTGTAAGGTGACAGTGAGAAGTGGCGATCTCCCTTGTGAAATCTGAGCACTGACAGCACTCTTCTGTCTGTCTGTCTGCTGTCACCCTTTCCTTTGTCCACCCCCACCCCCACCTGGGCCTCTGGTGGTCACTCTTTACATTCCATCTTACAAGTTATTGGAGCCATCCCCTGCCTGGATCAGGCATGCGTTGGTCAGGATTGATGCTCCGTCTCTCCCGGACACTGTACATTCCTCCCAGGAGCTGCTCCAAGCCGGAGAGAGCACATGGCCCTGTGTGATAGGGGAGGAGGACCAGGCCTTCCCCAAGGCTGAGGGATGGGACTGGAGCGTAGCTCAGTGGTAGATAGCTCATACTGTGTGTGCATGGCTCTGGGTTGAAACCCTTGCACTAAAAAAGGAATTCTAAGTACGGTCTGTATGCTGTATTGTGACTTTTCTGGAGACTCCCCTCGCTAGGCTGCGTTCTATTCAGCCAAGAAAGAATTTTATTAACTTAAAAATGCCAACTACGCCGGGCGTGGTGGCGTACGCCTTTAATCCCAGTACTTGGGAAGCAGAGGCAGGCAGATCTTTGTGAGTTTGAGGCCAGCCTGGTCTACATAGTTCCAGGACAGCTGGGGCTTTAGGGAGACTCTGTCTCAAAACAAGCCAACTACTTATTTCTAATAAGAACCTCCAAGCAGCTTGCCAGATCCCTTCTCCCACCCAGCTTCTCAGTAGAGATTTTAAAGCCATTTTCTGCTAATGGGGAAACTGAGGTTAAGGGAGGTTACATGCATTGGTCACGGTTTCATAGCAATAAGCCACGAGAGGTGGAAAGGCCAAGCCCAGAGCCAGTGCCTTTCCCAAGCTGTCCTGACATCTGATGGCCACCAGGCATGTCTAGAGTTTGGTGACGCCAATGAGTAAGAACCAGCTCCACTAGGGAAGTCATGTGGCCCATTGGGGCTGGAGGACTTCTCAGCCGGGAAAGCTGACAGGCCCTCTGAAGGGATGCTCTGCAGAGGCCGCCAAGAGGTGGAACTGGGTGTCCGTCAGGGCCTGTTCATCCCTGACCTCACTGTCCCCCCCACAGGTCCGCTTTGTGAACAGCACATGGGTGTTCGGGAAGGGCATGTGCCACGTCAGCCGTTTTGCCCAGTACTGCTCCCTACACGTCTCAGCATTGACACTGACGGCCATCGCTGTGGACCGCCACCAGGTGAGGGCACCTGCCATCAGCACTGTCTTCCCCCTCGAGCTGTGCCTGCCTGCCCAGAGCCCGCAGGAAACGCTCAGGACCGTGACTTCGCCCAGCAGTCAATGGGCGTACTCGTCTCGTTTTTGATCCATGTGGGCGTGGAAGGTGTGGTGTTAAACCCTTTGGTGGTCCCACTCTGCTGTCCAGTGAAAACTTACCACTACCTTTTTCCATCTTAAAATTTAATGAACTTGTTTTGGGGGGCAGAAAAGCAATTACAGATGAAAAGAAAGCAAAAAAATAACTGCAGGTCAAAGAAGGCGAAGGAGGTGACCAAGCAGGATGTCCCACAGCAGGAGCAGGTGTTGGGGTGGGGTGTGGTGGCATCAGGGGTGATGCCCCATGGTTTGTGGGCACCCAGAGAGGACCCAAGAGCATCCGTCCTGGAAAGGGCCTGCTTCAGGCCAGGTGCACCTGCGAACTCCATGAGCACATGTGCTTAGACTGTGCTGAATTACAAAATAGCTCAGAAATGTGCACACCCAGCTTTCCCACGGTTATAGAACCGTGAATGACCATGAGTGATGAGGCTCGAACTAGGACCAAGGTCTGTTTGGCTCTGACCTCTAGACTGCTCTGAGATAACTTAGACCTACAAGGCCAGTACCCTCAGGGCTACCAGGACAAAGCAAGGTTTCATCTTGAGATGCCCCAAGAGGCACAGCAGGAGCCACGGGGCAGGTGGCTTCAGAGACACACACTCAAAGGCATTGTTAACTGTGAGGAGTGATGGTCTAGTAGATTTACTCAAAGTGGACAGAGCTGCCCAGGACACAGTGTTTCATGTCTAAGTTGAATGACAACTTGGTAAGGGTGGACTTTGTCCATCGGGTGAGGAATGGACTGGCCAAACTTTGAGATCTCTGAAATGCTGAAATTTCGTAAGAATGAACTTTTCAGATAGTGCAGGTGCTTCAGGGTCAAGTGAGAAAAGTTTTACATTACAGATGTTTCCCGCCACTGGTTAATCATCCCTAACTCAGAGCTCCGGGATATCCCTGACTTGAGGACCCAGCATCGCAACTGAGAAAGCTTTTTACAAGAATTGTAGCAATTCAAAGATGTGTTTGGGCCCCAAGCCTGTGACACTGGCTTCGTTAGAAGGACACAGAAGCAGGACTGTATTTTGCTTTAGCACCGGCTTTCATAAATAGTGTCAGAGTGGCTTCCTGCAGTAGGTGAGGAGAGCTTGCTTTCCATTGTCAGAGCCCTTCATCACCTCCAGGATCTGGAACCATGGGAAGATGGGTCAGATCTCAAGGAGGGGGTGAGCCTGGGAAGCTCCTTCTGCCGGCTCTGCAGGACTCTCCCAGCCGCTGCCCTGGTCCTCCACTTACGAGAAGCCTTGGACCTGCCAGGAGCCTCAGAATCCACAGGCTACCCTCTCCCCATTCCTGGAAATATGGGTAGACTGACCCCCACCTCAGCCGCCTGGTGCAGCTCAGGGGCTCAACAGTGAACATACAAGGTGTCTGATCTATAGGGCCTGCCTTGATTGAGCGGTGCCATCTGGGTCCTCATCTTTGAGATTCACCTCTGCTTCCAACCTCAGCTGGTGATGGCTTCCCTTGTGTTCCAGGTCATCATGCATCCCTTGAAACCCCGAATCTCCATCACCAAGGGCATCATCTACGTTGCTGTGATCTGGGTCATGGCTACCTTCTTCTCGCTTCCACATGCCATCTGCCAGAAACTGTTTACCTTCAAGTACAGGTGAGGAGCAGCCTGGGACCCAGGGCTGGCCTTCTCCAGAATGGACCTGGACCCAAATGCACTGGGCCCAAACTGGACCCCGTCACGTAGGGACTCTTGGAGCTGCACACACCTGCCTCACTGAGCCGTTCTCCTCGGCCCTCCATCCTGAGCCTCCTGCCCCACACCTGTTCTCTGTGTTGTTTTTGTCTTCCTATTTTATTTCTTTTTAACGTCTTACCCTTTTTCTAGTGTCTTTGCTAAGGCAAGGCAGTAATTATGAAATTCTGCCACCAGGGGGCGGGTGCTCACACAGACAGGTGCACCCCCCCATACTGTCTCATTTGAACCCAGCAAGGTTTTGATTCACACACAACAAAACATGCATGTGTGTGCTGAATTCTTTACCTCTCCCCACTGCTCGCTCAGGTTCATATCATATGCTTTCTCCAAATGAAAAATGAAAATGCTCTTTTACTTATTTTTAATTTTTAAAATTAAAAACAAAATATTTTATTTATTTTTATTTTATGTGTATGAGTGTGTTGCCTGCATGTATGTGAGTGCACCCATGTTGTGCAATGCCGTGGAGGTCAGAAGTGGGCTCTGGATTCCCCTGGAACTGGAGTTAAGGACGGTTCATAGTTGCCATGTGGGTGCTGGGAATTGAACCCAGGTCCTCTGCAAGAGCAGTCAGTGCTCTTAACCGCTGAGCCATCTCTCCAGCCCCCATAACATTTCTTTTGAATGGTCTTTGATCATGTTTTGTTTAACATCTCTTCATCCTCAGGAGTGTGCTTGGCCCATTCTTGTGGCCCATGGGCAATGCATAGTGGGGCTCGTACCATGACAGGTGCAGTGTACAGTGAGCGAACACCATGCAGTCCCTCACTGGGGCCTTGGTGCAGATCGGCTTATTATTGGATGCGTTGCGTATGCTCCAGGAGAAGTTCCCACATCCGATCTCAGGGCACAGCACTTACCACCTCCCTGAACTTGGACTGTATGTGTGCAGCAGGGGCCAGTCAGTGTTGGCAGCAGCTGGCCCAGCTCGTACCCCCACTTCTTGTGGTAGAGCTTTCTCTTGCCCCCGGTTTGGAAGCTGTTGTGACCGTTGTCCCAGAAGATGCCTGTTGCTTGGCACTGGCTGGAAATAGGAGAATGCGCTTAAACAAATGGTCTAATTGATGACTTTTTTTTTTTTTTTTGGTCTTTTTGAGACAGGGTCTCCCTGTAGCCCCAGCTGCCCTGGAACTCACTATGTAGACCAGGCTGGCCTTGAACTCACAGAAACTTGCCTGCCTCTGCTGGGATCAAAGGCGTGTGCCACCACGCCTGACCTAATTGATGGCTTTTTGTATCTAGTTCCAGCCTGCCTCAGTGGCAGACTGTATAGTAGGATGGGAGGGCTGATGTAGAATTTCCTACTTGGCCAGCCCGACCCCTGCTTCGGGTCTCCACCTTACAAGCCTTCAGTGTGAACTCACAGCAGATGAAGGATCCTGGAGTGGTTTTCAGCATTTTGCAGCTGTTTTGGACGTGAGTGCTCTGGAACGGGTCGCTCTCTCCCTCCTCCTTTGCTTCCCAAGGCATGTATGAAGGTTCATAAGCACATGGACATGGTAGTTCTGCATTGCCACATCTTGTCTAGAACCGTCGTTTGTTTGGTGGTTTCTTAGTTCCACTCTGGAATGAGAACTGAGTATAATGGGAAACTGAGATTTTTCTCAAGAAAGCTACTTTTCAGAGCAGGACTGCTGCTGTTTCATTCAATCATTCATTTATTCAATTTCATTCAATCATTCATTAATTCATTTATCAAATATTGGAGGGGTCCACTGTGGGCTAGGGATAATGCCAAGTTAAGGTGACACAGAAGTCTGGAATCTTCCTAACCTTGGTAGAATGCTCTGTGTGGGAAGACAGAAGTGTAATCAGATAATTAGGCTACAGTGTCAAAAAGACTTAAGAGACAGATGTGTCCGCGCCCGGGGTCGGGAGGCCTTCCTCAAGAAGTGCTTGCCCACTCAGGGCCTGCCCGGCCTCCTTTCTCTCTCCTTCCCTCTCACCCCAGTGAGGACGTCGTGCGGTCACTCTGCCTGCCGGACTTCCCCGAGCCAGCCGACCTCTTCTGGAAGTACCTGGACCTGGCCACCTTCACCCTGCTCTACCTCCTCCCGCTGCTCATCGTCTCGGTGGCTTACGCTCGGGTGGCCAAGAAGCTGTGGGTGTGCAACACGATCGGTGACGTGACCGCGGAGCAGTTCCTCGCCCTGCGGCGTAGGAAGAAGACCACCATCAAGATGCTGGTGCTGGTGGTGGTCCTCTTCGCTCTGTGCTGGTTCCCCCTCAACTGCTACGTCCTCCTCCTGTCCAGCAAGGTCATCCGCACCAACAACGCCCTCTACTTCGCCTTCCACTGGTTCGCCATGAGCAGCACTTGCTACAACCCCTTCATCTACTGCTGGCTGAACGAGAACTTCAGGGTTGAGCTGAAGGCGCTGCTGAGCATGTGCCAAAGGCCACCCAGGCCTCAGGAGGACCGACTGCCGTCCCCGGTCCCTTCCTTCAGGGTGGCCTGGATGGAGAAAAGCCAGGGTCGGAGGGCCCCACTGGCTAGTCACCTCCTGCCCTCCTCCCAGCTCCAGTCTGGGAAGACAGACCTGTCCTCTGTGGAACCCATTGTAGGATGAGCTAGGGGAAGCAGGAGGAGGAGGGGAGGGGCTATCTCTCACACCTGATCTGATGTTCACAGTTCTGGAAACAGAAGTAGTAGAATGCTCCAGTTCCTAAGAACCTACCCAGCCTGGTCCCATTTGATGTGCAAGAAGGTGCCGAGGACTGTTGCACCTGATCACTGAGCAAGAGCTCTGAAGGCGACCTGAGCCCTAACAGGGCCCAGATCGGTCCACTGCCCCCAAAAGTCCAGCATCTGCCACCCAGCCCTTCCTACTGCTGAGCATTCACAGGGGAACTTGAGTCACGTGGCCAGGAAAGCGTTTCACTGGACAGGGGGAGCGGGCACGAAGGCCTTCTGAAGTCCCTGGACTGAATCTTCATCTTCAGTGGGCTGGCCCTATCCATGGCCAGATAGAATCCATTTTGGATCCTTAAAGAGAAATTAGTATTTTCACTTTGAAAAAATTCAGAAAACCACAGAATACAATGAAACCCACTCCCTTTGCTCGTCCGTTTGTGAAAACCTCTGTTAATGAGCTGTGGAGTTATCTGTAACTTTTTCCGTGTGTGTGTGTGTGTGTGTGGTACGTGTCTGCACTTTTAAAGTTCTGACTACACATTTCTGTTTAGATTGTAATCGTCAGGAAAAGGTGGCTCCATCAGACAACTTCTGAGTCCCTTCCTAGGGAGTGGTGTCCCTCAGAGAAACTGAAGACGAGAGGAGTCCAAGGCGGAGACTGGCCTCGCGTCACAGCCAGCAGCGGGCAGGGCCTCGCTGAGGTCCCTCACTTAGACGGTGGCCATCGAGATTAGCAGGGAACGGGAGAGCTGAGAGGTAGAATTCCCTCCCCTGCACAGGAACAAGGAGCGTGAAGCAGTGTTCTGTTTCCACAGGCGATGGGGAAGCTAGCTTTCCAGTGTGCTGGAAATAATTGGGCTTCAGCACTTCGTCCGCTGAGCTGCCTAGACAGGCCATTTCTCTGTGTTGTCTGAATAATGAGATTTTTTTCCAACACTGGTTCCTGAAAGTTCTGCCTGTCAATACCACCTGAGAAATTCATGTGTCACTTCCCAAACCTATGGGCTCTTAAGGGACCATTTGTCAGAGAAATCTTCAGACAGCCAGTGTTTGCATCACCTTCATCTTCCATCTGGTCCTCAGTGACTCTTGAGGTGTTGGGCAGAAGTGAGTAATTCCCAGGCTCTAAGCAGAGGATGCTTAGATTTCTGACTGGTCCCAGAGAGATGCTGAGTGGGAAACTTGTTTGAGGAGATGAGGCTTGTCCAAGAGTCACTTAGATCTCTTAGTTCAGTGAAGCACAACTTGGTTACAACATCTGCTTCTGTAATGAACCAAGGGAGTTCCCTAGACTCATCTGTCCTTGAGGATGTTAGGAAGTTTCCAAGATACAAATTTTAAAAAACCATCTACAGAACAGCAGATATTTTTATTTTTTCTTTTGGTCATTTTGCAACAGGGTCTCCCTGTGGCCCCAGCTGTCCTGGAACTCACTATGTAGACCAGGCTGGCCGTGAACTCACAGAGATCCTCCTGCCTCTGCCTCCCGAGTGCAGGGGTCAAAGGCGTGCGCCACCACGCCCGGCTAACAGCAGATTAGGAAAAAAAAAAAGACTTGGAAGAAAGCACTTTCTAAATCCAAAGGGATTTCCAAGTGAGTTTTTCAGGTTGGTGGCTCTGTGCCTGTCCTGGTCTTTGTGATGTCAGCAAGTGGCGGTGAGTTTAGCTTTATGCAGCCATGGGCAGTCTGAACTGACATGAGAAGAGATGGCCAGGAAGAGACAGCTGGTTCCCATAGTGGGCCCTGCCCCAGGATTCAAGGGAAAAACTCCAGTCACTCTTCTCTGAGGGTGTCTAGGCATCCTGCCACATAGAGCCGACTCTCCAGCCTATGTCTCCTGTGGACAGCTGTCTGCCCCTTCCCTACGTCCCCTGTCTGCCTCTGAGCAAAACAGTGACTTATAATTGTGAATGTGAAATTTGTAAATCGTGAGTTTTCCCAATATGCTGTAAAGAGTGCTCTGTTGTAAATCGCTGTAGTCTCAATAAAGTATCGTGTGTGAGTGAGATGTGCCACTTGGATTGGTGACCAAGTCACAGTTGGTAACCTTTAAAATGGGAATCAGCATGGATCTCATAAAGGAAGCACAGGGATTATCAACCCAAAGCCCAGAATTTTAGCTTAGCAAGTTCAAGTAAGGAAAAAGTAGAGAGTTGAGGGTCCTTGACTTCGGGTTCAGAGCTGCTCCCTTTGAGTCAGCTGCCGAGTCTCCCTTCCATGGTGGTACCTCTGTGCTGTGTGCTTGAACCCTGAGCTTCATCTGTCCCTACAATTCGGGAGGAGGTGAAACTGCCCCTTGAGCCTGGAAGCCTGTCTGTCTGGTGTGTGCAGTAGACATGGCCTTCCCTGGGGGATGCGGAACCTGCTCTGATGTCCCCACTGGAGAGAATGCACCCCGCTGCTGTGCAGAGCAGCTGTTAAGTCAGTTTCAAAGACAGGTGCAAATGAGGGTGATCTGCTAACCTACAGGAAAATTTGCAAGGGAAGTGAAGTCTGAAAAGGAGCTGAGGTTTGTGGACACACCTATGTGCAGTACAACGCCAGAGGCGTCAAGCTCAGCATCTCACCCTCCCCACAGACCTGCAGGGCATTTCCGTATCACAGGACAGGAAACTGAGGGTCAGCAAACTTAGATTATCTGCTAAGAACCACAGTATAAAGTAGAAAAACAGCAGCTGCCCTCATGGAGATGTTAAGTTCTGTGAACGCATAGAGAAGGACCTTATACGTTTATCTTAATCCCATATTTTCCAAATTTTCTTGATGGTGAGATATTTTTTAGGCAAAATCTGTTAACAGTCCTAAAAACTAGGGCTTGAGTTATGTAGCTTGGGAAATGCTTGAGTGAGTCCTGCAGTTGCTGAAGGTCAGTGGTTAGTGAATCGTGGTTCTGGTACACAGAGCCTTGCTTGGCTGCCTCATGAGCTCAGGCTTATGAGAATGCTTTTCATAGGGACTCTGCATATTGCTGCTGCTGTGAGACCCAGGGCCTTAAGGGCCTCAGTTAGCTAAATGCACTTCACATCCACCTCACCACTCTGAGCTGCTTGTGACATGCCACCGGGGATACGCTGGTGATGGGCGCCTGTGATGGTCAAACTTCATTGAGAGTCACCTAAGAGGACACACTTCTGGGCATGTCTGTGACGATGGATTAACCAAGGAACGAAGACCCATCCTGAATGCGAGCAGCACCAGGCCACGGACTGGGGGCCAGAGGAGAAAGCTAGTGGAGTGCTGGCATTCCCCCTTAGCTACTCCCTGATCCGCAGAGGTGTGAGTGATCGGCCTCAGGCTTCTGCCATGCCGTCCTCACCATGGTGGGCCTTGTCCTTAAACCATGAGCCACAGTAAACTCATCCTCCCGTAAGAGGCTTGTGTCAAATGTTCGGTGACAGCGATAAGGCACATCAACAGCCCTTCCTGGCTGTCTGGGGCTAGGGAGGAATCTGCGAAGACTGGAGCGGGCATCCACCAGGAAGCAGGCCTGCCTCAGGGCGAAGCCCGAGGTCAGCAGAATCATGCTGCCAGGCTCCGGTGCTGGGGAGAGGATGCTTGCTGACAGTGTGTATAGCATCTCCACGTACCCTCCATGGTCAGTTCTCTTCCATTTCATTTTTTAGGGGAGAGGGGAAAGGGAAATACATGTAATTCTGATCGCAGTTATTTTAAAACCACAAAATCATGGTATTTAAGGAGAGCAAAGCCCAGGTTAGGTGTCCTTCCTGAAGCCTTGTAACCTGTCTTGCAGAGAAAGGGCTGTTTTCAGCTGCTCAGGGCAAAGTGGTTGATCTCAACAGTGTCCCTTTTACTTCTGTTTGCAGTCCAGCAAGATCCATCTTCAGATTGGTCATGTGTTTAAGATGCTCAGCTTGCATTATCACAGTTGGGGAGAAGGGGTCCAGCTTGATGTGGGGGTGGGATGTGGATCTCAGGGTTAGATATGGGTCATTTTCAGGCTTGAACTCTGATTTGGGGCAGTGGGCTCAGGGGTGTCTATTCTGTATTAAAAGTAATTAATCAGCTGGTGTGGGGGCTCACTCCTTTAATCCCAGCACTCAGGAGGCATAAATAGGCAGATCTCCGTGAAATCAAGGCCAGCCTGGTTTACTTAGCAAGTTCCAGGCCAGCTGGGGCTTCAAGGAGGCCCTGTCTCAGAAAACCAAAACCAACCAAGCAACAACAGAAACAAAGTAATTAACCAACTAACTAACCAGATGGCTCAGAGAAGATCACACCAGGATTTCTGCCAGGAGGGGACCATGGACCATGGTCGATCAATCTAGTCCTTTGCCCTGTGGTCTTTAAACCACCAAACCAACCAAGAAAAGAAGCAAACAGCAAACCGATAAAAACAGGTTATACCTATATCTGGATCATTTAAATATGCAAGTAGATCACACTGCCTCCTCCCAAGGCTCAGAGATCTTTGAGGAAGAGGAGGTGGAAAGACCGTAAGGGCCAGAGGTGCAGATTGCTACAAGGAAACAGTGTTCTGGACACAACAGGGTAGGTGCACATAATGAGCTCACGGTGGTCGCGAGATCGTGCACAAGACCTGAGCAAGCTCAAGCCAGACAAAATCCCAGCATGGAGGGAGGGGAGGGCCCGGGGCACCACCTGCAGCCGAGGAAATATTGGCAATTGATGGCTGCTGGGAGAGGGAGAGTTGATTTCCTTTAAGGTGTTGCCTTCACTCCAGTGGATGGCCCCACATTCAGATGTTTATGGACAGCACAAACTAGACTCAGTAGGTTTTACAGAAAGGACACGAAGTTTGATGGGGGTGGATCTGGGAGGAGTTGGGGAATGGGGTAAATATGATAAAAATGAATTGTATGAAATTCTCGAATGATTAATAAAAATATTTTTTAATATGCAAGTAGAGTTCACAGCCGTGACAACCAGGATACGACAATTATTTTTCCTTTTCAAAAACAAACCTTCCTGAATGTAGGTGAAACTTCCTTCTAGTCTCTGGCACTAATTCCCTGCCAATCTCTCACAATAGTTAGAAGCCCGAGTGTTACATGAGCGATTGTGCTGTGTCCCTCAGATGTCCTGTGCCATCTGCATACCCCACTGTGCGGGGTTCATTCTGCACTGCTGTGGCACCTGTGCCCCAGAACAGCCCAGTGCCAATTCCAGCCGCTTCTCAGGGCTCCCTCTTCCTCTTTTTTGGTCTGCTCCGTTATTTTGGAAGGACCAAAGCTTCTAGCTGTTCCCCTGCAAAAAGGTATGTAGAAGCTCATATTTTTTGAGAACTTTTTTTCTAAAAATGAGTTTAAATTTTGTTTAAACTCATAGTTAGTCAGTAGTATGTTTGAATTTAGGTAATGGGTTGAAAATAATTTTCTCTTGCAATTTCAAAAGCATTTGAATTAGTTTTAAATTACTGCTATAACACATTACCACAGTCTTAGTGCTCAAATAACAAAATTGCTCATCTCCTAGTTCTGTGGGGATGGAAAGTCTGACACATATGGGCTGAGCTGCTTTCTGCTGGTTCTGGGTGGTGCCTGTTCCCTGGTGTTCACAGCTTCTAGAACCCACACGTGCCCCTGCGCCCTCGGCTCCCTCCTCCAGCACTGAAGGGAGCAGCACTGTTTCTTCCAGGGCAGTTTCCCTCCGATGTTGCCTGTTCCCCTCTCTTACAGGTTTTCAGCATTTTGTGACCACACTGCATTTTCTCTGAAAGTTGGCTGATTAGTCTTAAATCCATCTG